TAATATTAATGATAATAATAATGAAAATAATAACATAAAATTAATGTTAATAATAGTAATGATAATAGTAATATTATTATGATTTATAATAATAATAATAATAATAATGATAATGAAAATATTAATAATAATGATAATAATATTATTAATAATGATAATAATTATAATGATATTAATAATAATAATAATAATAATAGTGAAAATATGAATGATAAAAAAAAAAAATAATAATAATAATAATGAAAACAATAACATAATAATTATATTACCGGTAATAATAATAACGCTGATAATATTAATGATAATAATAATAATGATAATGAAAATATTAATGATAATAATAATAATGATAATAATTATGATATAATATTAATAATAATGATAATATTAATAATAATGATAATAATTATGATATAATATTAATAATAATGATAATGATAATAATAATGATAATGATAATAATGATAATAATAATAATGAAAATAAAAACATAATAATAATATTAATAACAATGATAATAATTATGATATAATATTAATAATAATGATAATAATAATGATAATAATAATAATAATAATGAAAATATTAATGATAACAATAATTATAATGATAATAATATTAATAATAACAATAATAATCATAATAATAATATTTTTATTATTATTAATAATAACGAAAATAGTGATGATTAAAATAATATTAATAATAATGATAATAATATTAATAATAACAATAATAATAATTTTATTATTATTATTAATAATAATAATGAAAATACTAATGATAATAATATTAATAATAATAATAATAGTGAAAATATGAATGATAAAAATATTAATAATAATAATAATAATGGTAATGAAAATATTAATGATAATAATAATATTAATAATAATAATAATAATGAAAACAATAACATAATAATTATATTACCGGTAATAATAATAACGCTGATAATATTAATGATAATAATAATAATGATAATGAAAACATTAATGATAATAATAATAATAATAATAATAATAATAATAATAATAATGAAAACAATAACATAATAATTATATTACCGGTAATAATAATAACGCTGATAATATTAATGATAATAATAATAATGATAATGAAAACATTTATGTTAATAATAATATTAATAATAATGATAATAATTATGATATAATATTAATAATAATGATAATATTAATAATAATGATAATAATAATACTGATAATAATTATGATATAATATTAATAATAATAATAATAATGATAATATTAATAATAATGATAATAATAATACTGATAATAATAATAATAATAATAATGATAATAATAATGATAATAATGATAATGATTATTGCTCTGTCCTGAACTCCTAGTCAGACATAACGGTGAATCTGCAGCAGGTCGGGTTAGACTCCTGACGACTTGTCTCTTCTTGTCTCCGACTCGTTTCAGAGTTTTTGTCCGTTGGGTTGTCCTCGGTGAAGAGGACCAAGGGCAGCTATCTCGTCCCCACGCTGCAATCCCTCTTTTCCCAGTCGTCTCCTGAAGAGCGCTCCTCCATGGTGGTGGTGGTTCTGCTTGCCGACTCTGACGCCATCTGGACCATCAACACGGTGACGGAGATGAAAGTGGCGTTTTCCTCGGAGCTGAAACGGGGCCAGCTGGTGGTGATCCATGTTCCTCTGGATCAGTACCCGCCTCTCACAGGTGCAGCTTCCTGGTTGACTCGTTTGTTGCTGTTGATGATGTGACGTTTATGCTAATCCCTGATTCTGCTGAAGGTCTGAAGAGGAACTACAATGATCCACCTGATCGGGTAACGTTCCGCTCCAAGCAGAACCTGGACTACTCCTTCCTTATCCACTACTCTGCAGGTCTGGGTCAGTACTATCTCCAGCTGGAGGACGATGTCCTCTCCGCAAAGAACTTCCTGACGACCATTAGGAGACGCGTGGAGGAGCAGAATTCCAAGAGGGGAACCTGGGCGATGCTGGAGTTCTCCACCCTCGGCTACATTGGGAAGCTCTACAAGTCGGCCCACCTTCCTCTTCTGGCCCGTTTTCTCTTCCTGTTCTACCAGGAGATGCCGTGTGATTGGCTGATGGGTCACTTCAGAGAGCTGATGACTCAAAGAGAGCCCATCATCTTTAAACCCTCATTGTTCCAACACATGGGCATGTTTTCATCGTTCCGGGGAACATACAACAAGCTGAAGGACAAGAACTTTGAGGAAGGGGTCTACAACAACCCTTCCGCTGACGTTTACTCCAACATGTCCACCTACCAGAAGAACTTCCCCAAACTGGCCTGGGAAGCTGGGGAGGGATTCTTCTGGGGACGCTCCCCAGAAAAAGGAAGCCATCTGACGGTGGTGTTCCTAACAGCCACGGTGGTGACTGGGATACTGGTGGAAACAGGATCAGGGGGGAAAGACCTCCTGTACTCGGCTCAGGTGGAACTAGGCCAAGATGTAGTGTCCTCCAAAGAAGAGAAGACGTGTAAGGAGTTCCGGTCAGTGGGAGCACTTGAAAACGGAAGATTTGAGATGTCCGAGGTGGACAAGAAGGTCAGATCTGCCTCCTGGTGTCTGAGGGTTCTGGTCACAGAAGCTCAGAAGGACTGGGTGATCATTCAGAAGGTCAGGATCACAACAAAACCCTCCTGACACCAAACAGCTGTGGGTTTCCCTCCCGCCCTGAAGGGTGATGACCTCCTCCACCTGCTGAAGCTCTTGTGCGAACGAGAGCGGGTTTTCTTTGTGCCTCGTCGAACTGTTTCAGTTCTGAAACCCAAACCAGCCTCCGTGAAGCTGCTCTCAGCCAGAAGATGATCATCATCATCATCATAATCTGTGTGGCCGTGTTGTCTTTTGCACAGCAAAGATCTTTGTTCGCTCTGCCAGAAACGAGAAACCAAATTTTATTTATTATTATTTTCAGTAATAAAAAACAACAAAGTGTGAAAAGAACATCAAAGAAAACATTAAACAGCGTTTAGAGAAAAGCTGAAACACGCAGGAGTAATTAAATCAGGCATTACCAGTAGAGCCAGCTCCTCGGTGCGTAAGCGTCCAGAGAACTAAAGGGGTCCGAGGGCTGAACCCTGAGGAACCCCTCCATCACTCAGGAATGACCAGAACCGACGCAGCACCACAGCTTTCAATCCCAGCACAATGCTGCCGACCAGGGGAGACCAGGCACCTTTTGGATTAAATGGATTAAAGAGCACAGGGATTAAAATGATCTGTGGAAAAATATCAGTTTTTCAGCGTTCTTCTGTTTTGTCGTTCTTTCAGTCTTTCAGAAGATTCAGGTTGCTCTCTGCTCTCATCCCGGTGGTCTGACCCGTGAGGTGCGTTTAGCCAGGCTTCATCATGGGCGACGTTGGAGGTTTCTAAAGGGTGTTGTGGTGTGAAATATGAATATAAGATTTAAATTAATAACAAAGTTTATTTATTAAACAGAAGGTTCAGTAAGATTCTTTTCATTCGATAAACTGGAAATTCAACCTTTTTCTGTGTTTGTTTCAATAATGAGGCAAGTTTAAAAAAGAAGAAATTTATTTACTAACAATTTTAAACTAAAAGATTTGAAACGACAATCATAAAAAATGACGATCCTTGACAGCGTTGATATGAAACTTGTTTGAAAGCAGACCGGTGTTGGGTGGAGCTATGAATGCATGAATGCAGTTCTCAGGTTTCTTTCAGAGGGGATGGAAGGAGTTCTGCATGAAATGACGTTTTGCAGATATAACCGAGTTATTTTAGAGAAAACAGCGTCAGACGCATTCTGTCGAGTTCTACCTCACCCAAACAGGACCGGATCCGGACGTCAGCAGGATGGGTTCATGCAAGGTGGCACTTCGGCTGGCAGAATAGACGCACGTGTCCGATGGCCCGGTCCAGAGATGTCCCGGGTTCACGGCTGGACGAAGCGTTTGGCAGATGCACGTTCTCGTATTTAACTTAACTTCAGCGACTCTGGGAGAGTCTTGCGTTAGCTGGTTTACGGCTCGTTTGTTCTTTAGCCGCTCTTGTCGGCGTGACAGAACAGCTGGCAGAGGGTCAAGGAGACGGACGCTCTCCTTTCCTCGTGGTGTTGGTTCCAGAACCGGACGTGAAATCTGTGACGGTTAGATTTACCAAACTCTCTCAGAACCGCTCCCTCTCTCTCCGGAGGAAAGCTTGCTCATGCGTCAAAAACATGATGCAGTTATTGTTCATGTGAACTCTGTGTTGGATGACAGGGTGAAGGTCTTCTTTGCTGAACACATCTTTAATCATTATTATAAAACCGAAAGCATAATAATCCATGTCATGTAATTAAAACACCTTTATATCTGAGCCAAGTGATCATGTATTAATGATTATTTAAACAGTAATAAAATCATAAGTTTATTATTATTTAGTTATTATCATCGTGGCTTGAAGTGTCCTTCTTCTGGGACGCAACAGCAGATATGATGTTAGGATCTTGGCTAGACATCGTGGCTCCTTGGGTTTAATCTGTGGATCCAAAGTACTGTCTGACCCAGCTGTGACCCAGCTTGAACCAGCTGTGACCCAGCTTGACCCAGCTTGACCCAGCTTGACCCAGCTTGACCCAGCTGTGACCTTTGGCACACATCAGAGAACCTTCATGCCGTTACGCAGGCTTTCATGCTTTTATTGTTCAACCAAATGCCAAAGATAAGTCCTGCTCCTCTGCTCGGCAGGGAAAAGCAACTCCCGTCGATGTTAAAGGAGCGGACCCGTGGGAAGTCGGACTTTAGAGCGGGATGGTCACAACTCTGGTTTCCCACGGGCAGCTGGATTTCTGTCACGTCCCGTTCCCTATCGAAGAAGTCTGAGGAATGCTGTGAGATGGAAACAGCTGGATGTGGAGACGTGGGGTGGGTGATGTGGAGGCGTGTTTACTTCAGTGAAATCACACTAGGTGATTCTTCTGGTCCCAAGTCAGGAAATGCTGGAAAACCTGGAAGTGGTTGAAAACGAGTGTATGCCAACTGGAACGTGTCAAACTGAATGTAGCCGTGATCCACGTGTGAGAGCGAGTCGTGTGTTTGAACGACCCGTGTGCAGAGAGGAAGACATTTGCATGTTCTGCTCTGTTTGCTGCAGAGACAACGTCCTGCAGCAGCAGCAGATAATCCCGTAATCCCAGCCGTCTCCGGTTTTTATAGCTAATTTCCTGCATGATTTACATAAAACTAATCCCTTTGCTTTCTAGTTTGTGCAGAACTCGCGAAACAAACGGGGTTTGTCCTCCGGGATGGGAAAGGAAGGCAGTGTGAGCGGACTCTGGTATCCATTAGGAAGCTGTTCCCAGACCACCATCCGGGTGTGTGACCCGGCACCTGACCTTTACCTTCAGCAGAACGTGAGATTTGACTCGTTGCAGAGATGCCCGTGTCCAACAGCAGCACTCGCTTCCACTCACTGGCGGACCTTGTTCTCCGTACTTGACCCATCCCCTGGGGGAGCGGGGGGAGCTGCAGCTGTGGCCCCCCCTCGAAGCTGAGTGTCACACAGGGAGGCGTCGGGTCCCACTGACCCGACTGGGATACGAACCCCGCTCTCCCAGTCCCAGAGCAGACTCTCTCTGTTTTCCTGGAGCATGGTGTGTCGGAATGCAAATGTTACATAAAACAAACCTCATGAAGCACGAGCGTGTTCCTCCACCCGGGACAGAACCAGCTGGAACGGGTTGAGCTGACCGCTGACACAGCAGCTCCTACTGGGACGTTATGTCGTGGGACAAGCGGGTTAACCAGAGAAGGAACGTGTCAGATGTATTAGTTCCTGGATGCAGAAGCTTTTATTGTGAAGGATTCAGTAGACATGTCGCAGCATAGAAACGAACGTCCCTCCCGGGCTTCCGTAGCAGCAGGGCTCTGGCTCAGCGGCCTTTCACTTGCTGCAGCTTGACTGTCGTGTTGAGAGGAGGCAGCCGGAGGCGAGTTGTGGCTCTGGGGCGCCGGCTGGGCGTCGGCAGCACCCGGCCGGACGCCCACACTAGTCTGAAAATAAAGGTTTGTATTACTGAACGTTTTCAAAAACAACACAAAATCCTCTCATTGTTGTGTTTGAAGGGAGATTAGCACACAGACAGGTTTGGTTTAGCCACTTAATTTATTATTTCTTGACTCATAAATTTGGTCAACTTTGTTGTTTTCTTTTGAAATGATTTAAATAAACGGACATTAAAGTCTGCCCAGCGGAGCAGGTCCTCCACCGCCGCCTGACCCTACCCCGTGAGAGCGGCTCCTATAAATACCAGCCTGAGCAGGAATGTTAAATATGATTATTTGTGTCGCACGTTTAAACGCTGCAACGTCGCCCACACTGCCGAACATAGACATAAAACACGTAGAAAAATAAGAGCCGTCAAGTAAAAACCAATAAAACATAAAAAATCAGACATAAGAAACAGTAAACAGGACTACCAAGTCATCCAGGAATACTAAAAGCTGTCGAGCAAATGTAAGTCTAGACGCCGCCTAACGCAGATGGGCAGCATGTTCCACAGAGAGAGACCCGAAACCTCTTCTGTAGCCTCGTCCCAGGAGCCCTCAACAGGCTGGTGAGCCGGCCGCGGCCCACGAGGCGGACACGCAGCACGAGGAGTTCACAGTAACGACAGCAGCAGCTCCTTTCATGTGTAAGCTAGACTAGATCTTAAACTGCACACTGAGCTTGCCCGGGATCCATCGCAGAGGCAAGAACCGGAGTGATCTGATCAAACCTACACGTGCCAGTCAGGAGACGAGCTGCAGCCATGATTAACGCCCAAGAACGGACTATTGCAGCAGTCTACAGGAGAGGTTCTACCTGGTCAAACAGGACTGAACCTGTTAAAGCTTCCTTAGGTGGAAAAAACAAACTCAAACCGAATTATAGACTTGAACATCAAATTTAAGCCGAGAATCCATCTTAACACCCAAATTAGAACAACATGCTTTGCCTCATGTGTGAAAACTACAGGAGCTCCACTCGGTGCAAACATAACCAACTCAGTCTCAGACTCGTTAGTCTGGAGAAGATACAACCCGTCTATAACTAACGTCAGAGCGAGTTCCTCCGCTTGAACAGGAGCATAGACCTGTCACACATATTACACATAAAACAACGCATCATTTACATGAACCTAACCTGCTCGCCTGCATCAGCGCTCCTGGTTCCTGCATGTAGTTTGGTACCCTGCTCAGGACAGAGCCCCCACACCTGGAGCCGCCTGAGTCCCTCCGTGGAGCGGGCTGTGGGGTTGATGGGATGGACTGGGATACGAGCAGGTAAATCCCAGGTGCCCTTATAGTCTGGCAGGAACCTGCCTCTCTGCAACCACATAGAGACGCACAGAAGAAAGTTCAAATCCAGACAAGATGCTTCACACATGGAGACGAGATGTTTGATGCTCTGACCTTCACTCCTGGGAGGAGATGTCCTTTGCTGTCTGCGATAAAGGAGGTGTGGCCCACCCGAGCTCCTGGCCTCTGAAAACACAGGTGAGTTCCTCAGACTCACAGAGACAGGGACTGATACAGGTGCTGATGACGGTTCAGTACCTTGGCCTCGCAGCGGTTCTGCATCTGCGCTCTGAAGGCGCTCTCGTACTAGCAGAGACACACACGTCTGAATGAAGGTTTCAGAAAAGCTAAAGGTGATTAAAAAGTTACCTGATTTGCTGAGAAAGTAGACGACATTCCTGCTTCTCCAACAGTCGCTGCTGAATGCTGTTGACCCGTTGCGTAGCAACGTAATCACAACCGGATATCCGCTGCTCCAAATAAAACTTCACACACGGGAATGATTAACTTGTTTTCTCGTCGACTTTTCGGAGGTACGGTGTGAGAGCGTGAAGACGAAGTGTGTGTGTCTCACGCACGTGACCTATTTTAAAAGATCAGTAAACCTTTCCTTTTTACCGGAAGTTCAACAACACGGGACTTTAAATTTTTAAAGAGATTTAAAACATTTTAAAACAATATTTTTTAAGTTAGACTAAACCGTTTAGAAAGGCACACAACATTCGAACAAAGCACAAACTTAAGTAATTTAATTTTGAGTGGTTCTTTCACGGTTTTCTTTTGAAATTACCAGCCGGAAGCTCGGTTGTTGTTCTTCCGGTAGCAGCTCTGCATGAGTGTTTGCTAGCAGCGGGGTTAGCGCGTGTCTACAGTAACAGCTTTACTGGGTTTCATCTCCATTAGAAGCAAACAGCGACCCTGAAGTTGGATCTCAGCGGTCGTGTAGGTACCGGATCCGGTTCTCGGACATGGAGGGTCCGTCCTGTCAGGTGCCTGCCGCCCAGGATGGAGAGGCTCGGCGGGTGGACAGGAGGGAGTCTGGGGGTTCTGGAACCGAGCCCACCCGGGACACCAGAACTCACTTCCGCGTGTGTCGCTTCATCATGGAGACAGGTTCGGTTGTTTTAGTTTGACCCGGAAACGCGTTTCTTTCAGAGAAACTACCGATCACGTTACCGTGTGACTAAATAACCAAGCTCTCTTATTTCCCCAGATTTCCATAGAAAGACTAAAACTGGTTGTATTATTTGTTTTAAGTAAAACCACATTTGACAGAAATGCTAAATCGGTTAAAGGCCTAATAAATAACCTTTATAATGTTGTGTGCATGTCCCATTTTTATTTTGGACCAAAAAGTAGAAAATGTTGAAGGGAGAGGGAAGTGTGGGTCCTAGGCTGTTACCCCGCGACCCGAAACCTACAGGGATGCACGATATACCGGTATCGGCCGATGTTAGTCATTCTTTAGCATACCGGTATCGGTCCTATAAATAAAACTGGGCCGATATTAAAAACAATATTTTTTCCATCTTGTTTCCTTTGTTCATCTGTTTCAGAAGGGGGGGGGGGTTAGGGTTGGGGGGGGGGGGGTGACATGTGTGTGTTTAGTCATGGCTGTGATCATCTCAGAAGCGTGTGTGTGTGTGTGAGTGGGGGGGGGGGACGTGTGTGTGTGTGTGTGTGTGTGTGGGGGGGGGGGCCTGTGTGTGTGTGTGTGTGTGTGTGGGGGGGGGGGTGTGACGTGTGTGTGTGTGGGGGGGGGTGACATGTGTGTGTGTGTGTGTGGGGGGGTGACGTGTGTGTGTGTGTGTGTGTTTAGTCATGGCTGTGATCATCTCAGAAGCATGTGTGTGTGTGTGTGCGTGTGGGGGGGGGGGTGACGTGTGTGTGTGTGTGTGTGGGGGGGGGGTGACATGTGTGTGTGTGTGTGTGGGGGGGGGGGTGACGTGTGTGTGTGTGTGTGTTTAGTCATGGCTGTGATCATCTCAGAAGCATGTGTGTGTGTGTGCGTGTGGGGGGGGGTGACATGTGTGTGTGTGTGTGTGGGGGGGTGACGTGTGTGTGTGTGTGTGTGTTTAGTCATGGCTGTGATCATCTCAGAAGCATGTGTGTGTGTGTGTGCGTGTGGGGGGGGTGACATGTGTGTGTGTGTGTGTGTGTGTGGGGGGGGGTGACGTGTGTGTGTGTGTGTGTGTGGGGGGGGGGGTGACGTGTGTGTGTGTGTGTGCATCATAAGTTAAAATCAGCTTTAATAATTTTCGTTCTACACAAAATCTGCTGATTTTAGAAGCATTAATGTCAGTTTATCGGTATCTGCAGGTATCGTTATCGGCCATAACAGTGATATTAATATCGGTATCTGCAGGTATCGTTATCGGCCATAACAGTGATATTAATATCGGTATCAGCCCAAACATTTCATATCGGTGCGTCTCTTCCAGTAGGGATTTCTTTGTTTTGGTTTGTTTTTATCTGACGCCGTCGCCGCTGCAGCAGCAGACACCTGCTCTCTAGGAAACGGCTGATTTGTTTGTTTTTGGATCAGGAGTGAAGCTCGGGATGCGCACGGTTCCCATGACTACCGCCTGTGTGCTGTACCACCGCTTCTTCCAGCGGGCCAGCGTCCGGGTGTATGAGCCTTACCTGGTGGCCATGAGCTGTGTGTACCTGGCTGGCAAAGTGGAGGAGCAGCACATCAGGACCCGTGACATCATCAACGTGAGCCACAGGTACTGAGGATAAACACCCTCACTGATTCCTAAAACACCTTTTATTCATCTGCACGTGTCTATTGATGTGCCGTTGTATCTCTTCCTGCACGCCTCGCAGAAAACCGGTTAAATGGTGACCTATAAAACACAAAGTCTGAGGCGGCTAAAGGTCGTCGTGATTTTTATGGTGAGAGGCGCTGCATACACCTGGTTTAGTGCAGAGGTTCGGTTCTGGACGGATTACAGCGATAAGCTCTCCACACAAAGCTGGAAGGTGTGTTCAGATTTCTTCCCACAGGGCAGAAAAACATGGAACTATTCAGGGAATGTGGAGGAAGCTGAGTGGAACGGACAAACCTAAGCTGGACACATAAAGGCTTTAGCAGCAACTGTTCTCCCCCGTGGTTGACTAAACAACAAACTAATGCTTGTTGGTGACAAGTAAAGACAACCGGTTCTGTCTCTGTAAACGACCCGCATCAGCACGCCGCTCATTAACATGCTTCACTTCTGCTGAGCTGAATGAGATTACTCGAGTCTGTCTCGAGTTGTAGACGCTAATTCCAATGAAAATAAGCAGAGTCACGTTGTCCTCCTCCTGCTTCTGCTCGTCCCTCAAAGGTACTTCAACAAAGGCAGCGCTCCTCTCGAATGTGACAAGGAGTTCTGGGACCTGAGGGACAGCGTGGTCCAGTGTGAGCTCCTCATCCTCCGACAGCTCAACTTCCACGTTTCCTTTGAGCACCCTCATGAGGTGTGTGTGTGTGTGTGTGTGTGTGTGTGTGTGTGTGTGTGTGTGTGTGTGTGTGTGTGTGTGTGTGTGTGTTTGTGAGAAGTCTGGGAGAAGTTCTCATGTTTAATAACAGTTTATTTGTTCCTTTATTGACTTTTATTTTATTATTTCTGCACCAGCTTTAATAATTAGAGTTAGAGTCTTCTGCTGGTTAAGTGGACAAACATCCCCATCCGGTGGCTCCATGTGGTAAATCCTAACCATCCTGCCGCCGCTGTCTCACATTTATTCCTTATTTCCACCAAACAGAAAATGTTTCACTTTTATTTATCTATTTAGTTTCATTTGAAGTCAAGGAAGTGATGTCACACATTTCTTTTTTATTAGGTCTTTAGACTCAGAATGACAGAATCGTGGTTCTGTTGGGTTTTCATTTTTAAACTTCTTGGTTTGTAAGAGTTTGACTCTGAATTATTGAGAGCTGGTGCAGGTGGAGGTGCAGATACAGGTGCAGGTGCAGATGCAGGTGCAGGTGGAGGTGCAGGTGCAGATGCAGGTGCAGATGGAGGTGGACGTGCAGATACAGGTGCAGGTGCAGGTGGACATTCAGGTGGAGATGGAGGTGCAGGTGCAGATGCAGGTGCAGATGCAGATGGAGGTGCAGATGCAGGTGCAGATGCAGATGGAGGTGCAGATGCAGGTGCAGATGGAGGTGCAGATACAGGTGCAGGTGGAGGTGCAGGTGCAGATGCAGGTGCAGATGGAGGTGGACGTGCAGATACAGGTGCAGGTGCAGGTGGACATTCAGGTGGAGATGGAGGTGCAGGTGCAGATGCAGGTGCAGATGCAGATGGAGGTGCAGATGCAGGTGCAGATGCAGATGGAGGTGCAGATGCAGGTGCAGATGGAGGTGCAGATACAGGTGCAGATGGAGGTGCAGATGCAGGTGCAGATGGAGGTGGACGTGCAGATACAGGTGCAGGTGCAGGTGGACATTCAGGTGGAGATGGAGGTGCAGGTGCAGATGCAGGTGCAGATGCAGATGGAGGTGCAGATGCAGGTGCAGATGCAGATGGAGGTGCAGATTAGGGTTGTCACGGTATGAAATTTTAACCTCACGGTTATTGTGACCAAAATTATCACGGTTTTCGGTATTATCGCGGTATTTTTTAAACGGTGTTGCATATGTTCAGAAAGCATTGATAGTCCTGTTCTACACAAACTGAAATAGTTCTGAAAAGGTTTAACAGTGTTTATTAAACCTAAAATAACACAAAGCCTTAGCAAAAGTGCAACTTTTCACAAGTAAAGGAACAAATAGCTTATTTTTCTGGAACATGTTACAGTAGTCAGTGCAGGTTTAAATTATACAAATCCAAACATTCAAAACATAAACAATATGTAAACAAATCAAAGAAACACCACTTGTTTTCTCATATACTTGTTTTCTTCATTATCAAAATGAAAATCTAAAACTCCAGTCCACACTTGACTTGAGCACTGTACAAGTCAACCTTAAAAAATATGTATTTAAAATAAATATCCACTTTAAACAAATTACTAAAATAACTACTACACTATGTAATCAAATCCAAATGTTCAAGTATAAATGGCATTGAATAAGTAAACAAATCAATGACAAGGAACTAATCGTATATTTCTCTTCATCATCAACAAATAAGATGCTTCATCCAGCAACAGGGTGTCCGTGACACGGTTTAAATGCTGGCAGAGGACGCTGCGGCTGCAGTATATGGTGACTCGTTGCATTCTCCCTCAACCAAAAGTCCTCACGTCATGCATTTAAGCTAAAATGCTAATGTTAACTTACCTTGCACTGGCTGTAGAGACGTGGGTGATCGTCACGCAGATGTGCCATTAGATTCGAAGTGTTGCTGCCTTCTGCAGACACTTGTTTCCTGCACGTTCTGCAAACGGGATAGCCGTCTTCTATTAACTGTCCCTCAGCATTTTTCAGAAATCCAAAATATGCCCATACTTCCGATTTAGTCTTCTTTGAGGGCTGATGGATGTCCTGGGCGCTGCCGTCGCCTCCTTCGGCCATTATTTCAGCTTCAAAGTTTTGGTGCCGTTGCAAACTAAAAAGAGCGTGTGCGCGCAGCGGGAACTTCAGCTGAAGCGACGGTGGCTGGTAAGGGTCATCGCGCCGAAACCGCGGCCACGGTAAACCCACCGAGATAATTTAGTTTTTTAAAAACTGGACGGTTATTTTTATTGTCAACTTTTTTACCGGGGTTTACCGCTATACCGGTTACCGTGACAACCCTAGTGCAGATACAGGTGCAGGTGCAGATGCAGGTGCAGATGCAGATGGAGGTGCAGATACAGGTGCAGGTGCAGATGCAGGTGCAGATGGAGGTGCAGATGCAGGTGCAGATGGAGGTGGACGTGCAGATGCAGGTGCAGGTGGACATTCAGGTGCAGATACAGGTGCAGGTGCAGATGCAGGTGCAGATGGAGGTGCAGATGCAGATGCAGGTGCAGATGGAGGTGGACATTTAGGTGGAGATGGAGGTGCAGATGCAGGTGCAGATGGAGGTGCAGGTGCAGATGGAGGTGCAGATGCAGGTGCAGATGGAGGTGCAGATGCAGGTGCAGATGGAGGTGCAGGTGCAGGTGCAGATGGAGGTGCAGGTGGAGGTGCAGGTGCAGATGGAGGTGCAGATGGAGGTGCAGGTGCAGGTACAGGTGCAGATGGAGGTGCAGGTGCAGATGCAGATGCAGATGGAGGTGCAGGTGCAGGTGGAGGTGGAGTTGCAGGTGCAGATGCAGATGGAGGTGCAGGTGCAGATGCAGGTGCAGATGGAGGTGCAGGTGCAGGCGCAGATGGAGGTGCAGATGGAGGTGCAGGTGGAGGTGGAGGTGCAGGTGCAGATGCAGATGGAGGTGCAGGTGCAGATGGAGGTGCAGGTGGAGGTGCAGGTGCAGGTGCAGGTGGAGGTGCAGGTGCAGATGCAGATGCAGGTGCAGGTGCAGATGCAGATGCAGGTGCAGATGCAGATGCAGGTGCAGGTGCAGATGCAGATGCAGGTGCAGGTGCAGATGCAGATGGAGGTGCAGGTGCAGGTGGAGGTGCAGGTGCAGGTGGAGGTGCAGGTGCAGATGCAGATGCAGATGCAGATGCAGGTGCAGGTGGAGGTGCAGGTGCAGGTGGAGGTGCAGATGCAGATGCAGATGCAGATGCAGGTGCAGGTGGAGGTGCAGGTGCAGGTGCAGGTGCAGATGCAGATGCAGATGCAGGTGCAGATGGAGGTGCAGGTGCAGGTGCAGATGGAGGTGCAGGTGCAGGTGCAGATGGAGGTGCAGGTGCAGATGGAGGTGCAGATGCAGGTGCAGGTGCAGGTGCAGATGGAGGTGCAGGTGCAGGTGCAGATGGAGGTGCAGGTGGAGGTGTTGTACTATGCAGCAGAGGAGGCTGGTTGATCTCATTCTCTCTGCGTAGACAGAATCTTTCCTCATGAAGGTGTTTCACCTGCTGCCCTGATTGAACTAATTAATTAATTACATCGTAATTAGACACATGTTCCAATGCCCCCCCCCCCATCTGTTCCTCTCTTCTGCAGTTCCTGCTCCACTACCTGCTGTCAGTGAAGTCGCTGGTGAACCGACACGCTTGGTCTCGGACCCCTGTGGCTGAGACTTCCTGGGCCCTGCTAAGAGATTGTTACCATGGAGACATGTGCATTCGCCACACACCACAACACATCGCCATAGCAACGCTGTACCTGGCCCTAAACAGCTATGGAGTGGAGCTCCCTGCTGGAGAGAAGGAGTGGTGGCAGGTGAGGGCGTGTGTGTGTGTGTGTGTGTGTGTGTGTGTGTGTGTGTGTGTGTGTGTGTGTGTGTGTGTGTGTGTGTGTGTGTGTGTGTGTGTGTGTGTGTGTAAGAATGAATGTAATTAAAGATGAATTCATGTAAGACGGTGTTCAGTCAGTGAAAGTTAAACATTTCTATGTGTAAAAGGTTAAAGGTCAGCGGTACCTGGGGGGTCGTTTCTTTTCACACACGTTGGTCTGGAGCCGTTTATTCACCATCTTTAGTTTTTGCTCTTTGCTGATCTGAAACACCTTTCCATAGCCACCCTGATACATCCACCTGATTTACTCAGTGACCTTTAACCTTTAACCACCCAGGTGGACGGCTGAGCTCCACCTGCTCACCAACAGCTAAGTGTCCTTTAAGGACGACGTGGAGACAGCACGCCGGTGCCTAACGTGCACGCCGGTGCCTAACGTTCACGCCTGTGCCTAACGTGCACGCCGGTGCCTAACGTGCACGCCGGTGCCTAACGTTCACGCCTGTGCCTAACGTGCACGCCGGTGCCTAACGTGCACGCCGGTGCCTAACGTTCACGCCTGTGCCTAACGTGCACGCCGGTGCCTAACGTGCACGCCGGTGCCTAACGTGCACGCCGCCGTGCAGCAGCTGAGGCGCCTGATCGCTGGAAGCCATTAAACAGTTTGAGGAGCTGTCAGAGACTCAAAGTGCTTTTAGGTCACCGCTGGCCTCCTGGGGGCGGGGCTAAACAGGTTGGAGCTTAAAATATCAGGAACAAATGTGCAGCGAGTGTAAGTGTTGTAAAACCACCGACGTATACGTAGACGCCTCGTGGACTGGCGCTGCCCATTGGAGCTGCTGTGGTGGCCGTCCGCCATCTTAGATGGGTCTCCATTCAGCCCCAGTGCATTAGTTTGTACTGAGGGAGGTGCTCACCCCAAAAACACATTTTACCAAGCTCCTTCACAGAGTCAGACACATGGCATGATGGTTAAAATGTAAACAAACACATTTAGATATGAAGTCCTCTCCGGGAGGCTGGAAAGTCCCCAGGAACAGGATCTGCTGTGTGCACGCCGGCTGTTGTGGCAGCAGGGAGCGGTTTCCCGCTCTGCGCTGGCTCAGGAGAGCGAGCATATGGCGGCGACGCTGTTACGCTCTCCAGCGTCCAATGGGGTGTCGACGTTTTCATGTCTGTGGAAAACACGACCTCCAGGAGCTGCTGGACTTCATCACTAACCAGGTCACCGGTTCTTACCTTCTGCTGAAGTCTAACCTTTGACCTCTGCTTTAGTCAGATGCACCTTTTAGTGTTGTGATAAACAAACATGACATCATGCTGATGTCATCGACTCAGCATGAAGCTGGAAGATGCCTGGCTGTCTTGTGAAGCTAAAACATCTCGTTGCTGCTATGTTGTTGCACCTGGTCTGAGGAAGCCCCGCCCCCTCACCTGCACACACGGTGCAGGTGAGGGGGCGGGGCTTTTCAGTTTTTTTCAGTGACTGAATACAAAGTTTTTTTTCCACAAATAAAAAGTCCACCAGAAATCCAACTTTTCATCATTTATGAACTTATTAATGAAAATAAAACAGCTTCTTTACAGAAGAGGGAAACAGGGATGTCTGAGTGGCCCTCATCTCCTGCCGTAGTTTTCTCTACACTGTAAACGGTCTCTTCTGCTGTAGCGGTCGCGGCGCTAGCCAGGGTTGTTCCAGCTCTTTAAAGGCTGCAGATTCCTGGTCCAGTGAACACGTACAGCTAATGAACCCTACTGGTGCGTCGCCTTTGCTGCCCGCCTGGAGAGCGTCACGCCGCTGCTGATTATTTGCAGTCTGCTTTCATGAATGAAGCCTTTTGTTACAGAGGAGCTTTAGAAAAGGACCCGCAGCATTTAGAAAGTCATCTGTTCATTTTACATCCCTCAGGGCCGCCAAACGGCTCGTGCACCTTTGATGTTTCCTGTTGATTCAGGCCAGGTGTGTGTGTGTGTGTGTGTGTGTGTGTGTGTGTGTGTGTGTGTGTAGGTGCTGTGTGAAGACGTGACCATAGCGGACATCAACGCTGTGATCTCAGACCTTCTCCAGCTCTACGACATGGAGGCCAAGTGTATCTGAGGCACACGTCGACACCTGAAGGCTCAGGTTGTGTGTGTGTGTGTGTGTGTGTGTGTGTGCATGAGCGTGTGTGTGTGTGTGTGTTTTGCTCCAGACAGCCCGTGGAGCTGAAGGCTCTGCAGTACCACCTCCTGCCACTGGGCGGAGACATTTGTCAGTGTTTGCTCCAGTGGACCTCCTGCTTCCTCTCCTCTCCATGTGTGTGTGCAGACTGGTGCGCGAGTGTTCACGGACGCTCTAGAACTCTTGTTATGAATAATAATCCGTTCAACACGAACGCATGATCATGTAAGCAGGTAGATGTTTGTGACTGAAGGACTTTGCTCCCAGAAATGTTCTAGACAATAATGGATGAGTATCCCGACTGCCCGGGAGACAACGGTCTTCGTTTCACCTACGTGTGTTCTCCACCCAGAACCGGACCCGCCTCTGCTTTCGGTTTACGGGGTTAGGCTGACGTTAGAGATGCGGCTCAGCTCTTCTCTTACATGAAGATATTTGTTTATTCCTGCCAGTCAGAGCCCTGACTCCGTCTCCTGTGGGTCACCGTGGTCCACCTGTCAGATGCTCTCACCACCCTCCTGAAGGTGCAGGCTGCTGCTGAGCTCACGGGGGTCCGATTCAGAGCTTCAGAGCGCTGAAGACCGTTTTTAGGGCAGGCACGAGACCGGCTGGTCCTCACCTCTGAACTCCTCCATGAGGGATGAAGACACATCTGCAGTTTACAAGATGGTGGAAATGTTTGCGCTCCAGCTTAAATGAAACATGAAGATCGTTTTTAGAAAAGTGCCCAAAGACGAGCAGACACGTCAAATAAAGTGGCTTGGACACGTGTGTGTGTTTTGTTCTTAATGAGCCTCGTCCTCCGTGTTTCTGATGGGAACCAGTCCTCGTGTTTAATGGGGCGGCCCCGTAACCCAGCACCGCTGGCATGGTGAGTGACTGGTTGGTGTAAAGGTCCTTGGGGGGGGTAATGACTGTGTGATTTCTCATTGATTAAAACAAAACGTGACAAACCGACAAATTAAAACAGCAAACTTTGTTAAATATCACAACGTTCATGTGTTCACATTCAGACGTGTTCAAGGTCAGCTCTGTAAGGCTCTTCCAGGCACTCATCCCTCCCACCACCAGCGGGCAAGGCGGGTTACGTGACTTGCTCAAGGACACAACAGCAGCTCTCTCTGGTCAGGACTGAACCTGCAACCTTCTGATTACTGGACCTCCTGAGCTGCTGCTGCTTAAACAACAACATGACCTCATGACCTTTCTAAACGCTCACTGAGCTCTTTGACCCATGAAGAAAATCTGACCGACTAAAGGAAGCGGTCCCAAACAGCTTTTCCACCTCAACCGTCAGCGGTCCGGACGCCGGTGGGGTGCAGGCCCGGAGCGGTGGTCTCTTCACACGTCGCCGTGTTTTAGATACTTGATAAAGGATCAGTGTCCGCCCTGCTGGGACAGATTCACCCTCTCATTGTCTGGATCCTGGTAAATCTGCTCCTTTATCCCTTTTAGGAAAAGTAGACGCAGATGATCCTTTTAGTGTAGAATCATCTGAGTGTCTCCTGAGGGTTCGTCCAGGATGAACAAAGTCACATGATCATATCTGACACATCTGTGCCTCCCCCCCTCCCTTCTCGCTCCGTTTCCCGGGTATTCCGCCTCTTCTCAGGACAAGAAGCATCGCGTGCATCCCGACTGCCTCATATGTCACACAGAATTCCTCATCCTGACACGTTTGCTCCCTGCTCATCTGTCCCTCGTCCAGTTTTATTTACTTTGTCCCACTGGGTGAAAATCTGGCACGCTCCCACTCTGCTCCTCTTTTACTGCCGTCCACTTTTTCATCACCATCTGTCCTTTCTCCATCCTGCTCTCCATTCCTTCTCCTGCCTCCTCCTCCCTCGATCTAACTAATGTTGTATTAATAATGGAGTGGCTGCATGTTCAGCCAGACTCCATGAATTAACCATCAGATGGGAAGGAGTCAGAGGAGAAAGGAGGAGGGAGTTGGAGCGTGGTGAGGATGAGGAGCAGATCTTCGTATCACATCCTTCACCCCGGCACCAACCGCCTCTGTGTGCTCCTGATCTGCTTATTTTTACTGCAATTTTTTCACTTTTTGAGCATTTGTTATGATGCGTAACCATGGCAACAAGCTGGTTTACAATCGGGAGCAGCTGATTAACACTGGAAAGGCTGAAATAATACCTCAACTGAAGCCACAAATCCCAAATGAGCTAAAACGCAAGAAGCGTGGGTGCAGAGCGGGAGCAAAACGGAGACAGAGAAAGAGGAAATTCAAACCATCTCTGCCATTGATCATAACGGGCGATGTGAGATCACTGGCCAACAGTGGATGAACTCCAAGCCCTTTCAAGGACTCAGCCAGAGTATCGGCAGTGTAGTGTTATGTGTTTCACTGAGACGTGGCTGCAGGACCATATCCCCGATTCCAGTGTCTCTCTGCCAGGATTCCTGACTGTACGAGCAGACAGAGATCTGAAGAGGAGCGGGAAAAGAAAAGGAGGTGGAGTGGCAGTGGCAGTGCTTGTCGACAACAGATGGTGCCATCCAGGTCATGTTTCAGTGAAATGTCGTCTCTGCAGCCCAGATGTTGAACTCTTGGCAGTAAGTTGTCGCCCATATTATTTGCCAAGAGAGTTGACCAGTGTTGTCTTGGCAACAGTTTATATTCCACCTTCAGCCATTGCTGAAAATGCATGTGATGCCATCAGTTCCGTTGTCGCTAAGCTACAAACCCAGCACCCCAATGCATTTGTGGCTATATCTGGTGATTTTAATCATGCCTCGCTCTCTGCTACACTTCCAACATTTCAACAGTTTGTCAGCTGCTCCACCAGAGAAAACAAGACATTGGATTTGTGTTATGCAAATGTAAAGAATGCATACATGTCCAAAACAAGACCTCCTCTGGGACAATCGGATCACAATCTTGTTTTTCTCTGCTCAGAATACAAACCACTTGTTCAGAGGCAACCTGTGACAAGAAGAACTGCGAGAAAATGGTCACAGGACGCTGAAGAAGCCCTGCAGAGTTGTTTTGAGACCACAGATTGGATGACTCTCTGCCAATGACATGAAGAGGACATCAATGCCATGACTGGATGTGTCACTGACTATATAAACTTGTGTGTGGACAACATCATACCCACCAGAACAGTGAGGTGCTTCGCTGATAACAAACCCTGGATCACCAGTGAACTGAAGAATCTGCTAAATGAGAGAAAAAAGAGCCTTCAAGGAGGGAGACAGGGAAATATTGAGGAGTATACAGAAGCAACTGAAGATCAAGATCAGAGACAGCAAGGAGGCATACAGGAAGAAGCTGGAGAACAAACTACAGAGGAACAATGTCAGAGATGTCTGGTCAGGGACGAAGAAGATCACAGGCTTCAAGCAGGGGAAGGATTGCACAGATGGCAGCCTGGACACAGCCAATGAACTGAACAAGTTCTTCAATAGGTTCAGTAATCTGTCAAGGTGGTGCTCAGATAACAACCTCACTCTGAATATACACAAAAAACAAAAGAGCTCATTCTGGATTTCAGGAGACACCGTCACACACACGCCCCTCTCCTCATAAATGGAGAACATGTGGACCGTGTCCCCTCCAGTAGGTTCCTTGGCACCATCATCTCTGCTGACCTGTCCTGGTCTACCAACACCAGAGCTTAGGTTGAAAAGGCTCAGCAGCGGCTGCACTTTCTCCGGGTCTTGAGAAGGTGTGGCCTGGATCAGAAGCTGCTGCTGGCTTTCTACCACTGCTCTGTGGAGAGCACCTTCACCTACTCACTGAGTGTGTGGTATGCAGGCTCCACAGCTGAGGACAGGTCGGCTGTTCAGAGGACAATAAACACCGCCCAGAAGATTACTGGCTGCACCCTGCCATCCCTTGAGGCCATCTCCAGAACCCGCTGCCTGAAGAGAACCGCTGCTATCCTCCGTGACCTCGCCCACCCTGCCCACTGCCTGTTTGACCTGCTGCCCTTAGGGCGCCGCTTCAGGTCAGTTAAATCACATACCACCAGACTTTCCAACACCTTCTGCCCTTGGGCCATCAGAACATTCAACACAACAGCACCATTCAACCCCCCACATCCCGTCAGTAATGTGAACTCATCTGTTTTAAATTGTTGTTTTAGCAGATCTGAATCACTGGCTGCACTTTGTTGGTGTTTTTAAATGTTTTTAGTCCTCTATGGTTTTAACAATTATTATTTATCGTCTTTTGCACTGTTGATGGCAGACCATCTAATTTAATTGCCAATGAGCAATTACAATAAAGTCTATTCTATTCTAGGTTCAGTTCAGGAACAAACCCAGCATCCTCCTCGCCTGTCCCCAGCCAACCAGACATCCCATCCTCCTCTGATCCAACATTTTCCTGTCACACGCCAGCTCTTTTATCCTCTAACACAGTCATGGACTCTTCTGGTTCTATAAGTCCGTCTTCAACCAAGTCAGGAGATGCTGCTGCCCCATTTACCTCCCCCTCCCACCTATCTGTCTCTAGAAGTCAGGTGAAGAGGCAGCTGGAGAGACTGAACAGGGACAAGGCTGTAGGTCCAGATGGTGTCAGCCCCAGAGTACTGAAGGCCTGTGCAGAGCAGCTCTGTGGGATTCTGCAGCACCTCTTCAACCTCAGCCTGGCCCAGGAGAAGGTTCCAGTCCTGTGGAAGACATCCTGCCTTGTTCCAGTTCCAAAGAAAACTCGCCCATCAGTCATTGACGACTACAGGCCGGTTGCCCTGACATCCCACATCATGAAGGTCCTGGAGAGACTCATGTTGGTCCACCTGAATAAGCAAACTAGAACATATCAGGACCCGCTGCAGTTTGCTTATCGCCATGGAGTTGGAGTTGAAGATGCCATTATCCAGCTGCTTCAACCAACCCACTGTCATCTGGACAAAGCAGGCAGCACTGTGAGGGTCATGTTCTTTGATGTCTCCAGTGCATTTAACACAATCCAGCCTGATATACTTTGCCAGAAACTCCAGAAGACACAGGTGGGGGCCTCAACTATCGCCTGGATTAAAGACTAGCTGACAAACAGACCACAGTTAGTGAGGCTGAAGAACTGCACATCAAACCAGGCGATCAGTAACATTGGAGCACCACAGGGGACTGTACTCTCACCATTCCTTTTCACCCTGTACACCTCAGACTTCCAGTACAAGTCAGAGACCTGTCATCTACAGAAATACTCAGATGACTCTGCAGTTGTCGGGTGTATCAGAGATGGACAGGAAGCTGAGTACAGAGAGCTGGTGGAGCGCTTTCCAATCCAATCCAATTGTATTTATAAAGCGCATTCACAAGGCATTACAACCAAACAAGGCGCTGTACACTAAAGATGTTAGTTAATCAAACCGACGGTATACAAACATGTCGAACACAGATAAAAGATAAAAAGGAAATACAACAAAATTCCCAAAAACTAACAGCTAAAAATCAATAAAACTCAGGGAGAATAAAAATAAGAAAAACATTTTAAGAAAGAACCTCAATAGTACGGAAGTTGATATTGTGAAGTCCATTTTTAAACAATGTAGTAGTGAGGTTCATAATTATGTTATATAAGCTAGGTTGAAGTAGTGAGTTTTCAGGCGTGATTTAAAAATGCTAGCTGTTGGTGCTAGCCTCACTAGCAGTGCGTTCCACAGCTTCGGTGCACAGACAGAGAAAGCCCTTTCTCCACGGCTTTTTAAACGAGCATTCGGAACAGCTAGGAGGAGCTTATCTTCAGACCTGAGAGCACGCGGCGGGTTGTAGTAATGGACAATTTCACACAGATATGGAGGAGC